TTTTCTTGAGTACGCGACGTCAGCCAACGTCACCAAGAAATAACCAATGATATGCCCCTGATAGTATTGAAGAAACTCAAGCTGGATAACAAAAAAATATATATATTCAATAGCTTCTTTGAAATGAGATAAACGCCTAAATATCAATYAGGAACTGAGTCATTCCGTGGTCGAAAATATATTTTCGTCTGATAAAGTAATAAAATTAAACTGGGCATATTTAATTCGAAAAAGAGTTCTTAAAGCCTCTTGCAGCCGCTAAACAGTCCATGTATGACCACTTTTGATTCAATAGCGTTGGTAGTTTGATAGAGGGAGAAAAAACTAGAAACTTTTCCAATTTCCGAAAGAATGAAAAACAGGCAGCTGGCCCAAGCAGCGTTTTTGTTGTTTCGTTTTGTAAAAAGGGGAACGTAAAACTCTTGCTTAGTAAAGATATTTTTGTGTATTTTTTAAATCAAAATTGGGGTCGATCAAACTGACGCTACACACACACACACACACACCACACACAACTGCTTGGGATGCCTGTGTATCAACTGGTGCCCGACCTGGTGTCATAGTAACAGATGTTGTCGAAAAGAATTACATTGGAAATGAGGCAATAATAAGTCTATATAAAAGTGATAATCAAATCAAGAGATATGAAAATTGATAAAGAAAAGAAAAGAAGATAARATTTTCTTTTGTCAGCTGTCCCTTGATAAGATTATTATGATATTTTTAGGTCAGACTAAGTTTCTCACTTCTGTCAAATTTAACAATGTTTTTTAAAAGAGGACATTAATTGTCAATCTGTAAGTCCTTGTTAGTGTTAAATGTAATGGCGGCTTTTCTTCTCTTTGTTTCTATGCCCTGAACTACCATAACTTGTATTTACTGTACTGATGTTGGAATTTATATTTTTTATTTCTCGTTCGTATTCTAGACTTACTGTTTGTTCTTTTACTTCCCCTTTTTTCCGCTATTCGCCCATTCTTTTTTCTTCTTCCTTTCTTAAATATCCCCCTATTCCCGCCTCTCCCTTTCCCTTTGCCTTCTTCATTTTACTGTCCAATTTTGTTCGTTCTGTTTTCATTTTTGAAAAAAAAAAAAAAAGAAAGAAAGAAAGAAAAAAAGAAAAAGAAAAAGAAGAGAGAGAGAAAAAAGATTCATTTGAATCGCAATAAAGAAATAATATATAGATAATTTATCAAAATGATAAAAATAACTGGAACTTTGAAATGTTGCATTCACTGAAAATTACTCTGCCCTACGGTTGTTAATGCTGTCCGAATCATTTCAGCTCAGTTCTTCTTAATCGACTTAGTTGTTTGTTTTTCGAAGAATAAAGAAATTAAAAATCCAAWATTAATCAGTGTCTTACATATTCTATACATTTACCAAACAACTTCAGTTCCTCAAAAATTAATTTGAAATCAAAAAGAAAAAAAAAACGTTGGGGTTGTTGTCATTCAAAGCTCTTGTAAGATAAACAATGAATAGAAGTCTTATGAAAGTTCGAATTCTAATTTTTTGCCTTGAACTTTTAGAGAATCATTGGTTACTAAGCTGGTAACTAAGCTGGTTCTTTATCATGGTTCGTCTCGTATTGATGATTTCTCTTTATGGGGCAGCCGCCATTGGTTTCAAATCATTTTCAAATTTTTCCTCATGAATAACACTAACCGTCGGTCGTATAGACAGTCGAAATATCAATAACTTTTATTTAAGTGTCTAGTCGTTCTAGCACTTTCGCACTAATTGGGGACACTTTTCGCTCACTCGCACTACCACTACATTTAATATTCTATACACACAACGCTCAACTCACACAAAACCCTCGTAGCATAGGAGAGAACAACACATCAAACAAACTCAATTCACATGTGGCGACCGCAGGGCTCGAACCAGCGACCYGACCCGTTGGACTCTCAGCGGTGAAAGACTACGCGTTAGCCGCGAACGCCACCCATGCTACCCATAAAGTTACCAAAGTTACCAAATCCCTCGATAAACAAACTGATGGCTGCTAYGATTTTGCTAACGTCATCCCACGCTCTTACAGCATGGATAATAATCCCAAAGTATCACAAATCAAAACACTGCTGAACTGATGCCGACAATGTTTGTTTCTCTGGTGATTTATTTGCTTTTTGAAAAATCAATAAAAGAAATATTCATTTAAAACTAATCAGTTTTTTAGTGTTTGCTGATGACTTCCGTGTAAACTGGAGAAGGAATCGCTCAGCTTCTGTTTGCTATTATGATTTTATTTATTGTCGGTATGTTTGATTATGTTCTGGTAAATCAAAATCACGGAAGACAGAATTATCGTGTAATGTTGTAATAAAAATTAGGTGTAAATAAATTATTTTAAAAATATTTAGATTTAACTGACGACTGTGATGGACCTCTCTGCACTTAAATATACTTGGTTGGCAAGTCCCATTAAAAAACTTTTGTAAAATCAAATTCTCCTTTTAAAAAGATAGAGGCATGTTTTCTAAACTGAAGTCCTATAGAAAAACTTTTCCAATCATCAGTCAAAGTTATCGGACCCTGCCAGGGCACGGCTCACACACAACACACCGAGATTGAATTGGAATTGTCGGGTTGGGATTTGAAAGGGAGGAAAACCGGAGAAATTGGAGAGAAATCTTCAAATAGAGGGAGAGACTCAGCAAGCTTTATTCACATGTGATACTGAGTCCAGGAATCAAACCYTAGACCCTAGAAGTGAGAGGCGGAGTGTACTACCGCTAATTAATAATTTCCAATTTCTAAACATTAAAGAAACCGAATGTTCATACTAATTGGACATTCTAGTTCTTAGGAAGGATATCACTTAAAAAGCTTTTCGGTCGGTATTTCTTTCACATAACTGTCAACGGATCATTTTGGCTTTCAAAAACGTGCGGCGAGATTACTACTAAGTGCTTATTATTCATATTCATCTCCGTCTGTCGAACTTTTCCAAAAACTTTCACTGTTACCAATTTCAGACGTTATCAAAGAAAAACAAGCGAAGATAGCCCTTGAATGCCTAAGTGGCCTTGCTCCAGACTCCCTCTCGAGTCTTTTAAAAACAACTGAGCACTGTTACAATACCAGAGGAGTATCTAATCTTAACTTAACTATCCCTAAGTCAAGGACTAATGCAGGCAAACGTAGATTCGCCCATACAACTTCCTCCATTTGGAATGGCCTTGCTTCAGAATTGCTCAAGATATCATCTCTTAAAATTTTCAATCGAATTAAGGTACAAGGTGCATTTATTCTTAGTCCATTTAAGGCTTCTCACATAATTTCTTCCTCAAAAATATATTGATGCCTCTTGACTTGCGATTCTAGGTTTCTTAGTCCAGCTTTTGCTGGACTAACACTATTATTARTTAAGCTTAGCTTTTTTCAGTTTAGATTAGTGTAGAKAAATTTGTTGAGGTACCTAATATAGCTGTATATGGAAACACTGTAGATATAGCAATTCAATAAAAATACAAATCCTTAGATATAGTTAAGTAGATAGGTGCACAGTTTTAGAGCTGAAATATGTATAGATTAAAATAAACATTCTGAATAATTTTGTAAAATTTTTATCGTATATAWATACATATATATATAATTTAGTTTATATGGGCCTAATTGGAAATAAGCYCAMYGCTTTATTAGTTCACCCAATAAAGATTATTATTATTAGATTATCATTAAACATTACTGAGTGCCATATTTACGAGACGAGAAGAGGCCACTCGAGACTAATATATTGAGAGAAAAAAAGACATAATTCTAGCGACAATTCCACCAAAAAGAGAATTTGGTAAAAAAAAAAAACCTTAAGTTTGATGATAGAAACCTAGCCGAGGGTTATCGCGTGCACGTGCTGAAAAAGCCGTGTTTTCATTCAAGCAGTAAAAAACCGTTAGGCTGGTCAGGTGTACCGTGGGAATCAGTGCGTGCTTAAACAGTCGAATGAAAGGCAGATCTGGCTGTGTTTTCAGTCATGAATTYCTGCCTCTTAGGAAGACCAAAGGAACGACGGGAGGGTCACGATATTCAGTACTTTGAAGAGAATGAGGGCGTTGATTTGTACAGATATGTTTGAATTTTCTGCAACCTCTCAGCATCGTRTCGTTATACTCCAAGATTAGAAATACTCATCTTCGAATTTCATTTTGCTTTACTTTTGATAAAAGATACCACTCTATTGAAAAGTGAAAAAAAAAAAAGCATCCATAGATACAAAAAGAGGCAAGCTGAGTCAAAACCTCTAGAGAAGCCAGGGTAGAATCTATTGTGTCGAAAGCCAATGATTTTTATCTAACCTCCTTTTTAGGCAAAGTGTTAGATAATTCTTGAAATCTTCCCGTTTTTTTTATCGAATACCCTGAAACAACCTCTGGCTCTTGGTTGATCAAAGTCAGGGCATRGCTTAATCGTATCGTTATCCCCCATGATTAGAAATACTGATCTTCGATTTTTATTTAGCTTTACTTTTGATAAAAGAGACCACTTATTTTGAAGAGAAATAAATTAGTATCTATAGATACACAAAGAAGGCTACTCAATATTAATGACGTTATTGAGATCAAATCAGTCCGTCCCARCGTTGAGCAAAAATCAATAAAAGCGCTAAGTGGGACAAGAACAATGCTAACAAAGCCATCCCACTTCTGTGCAAACAGACTTTACCATTAGCGGTAAAAACCGACTTTGAAACTTAATATTCCCAATAGAGTTAGTTTTTGTTAACTCTTATACCAAATAAACGTGAAAGGTTTTTTGACTATCTTAATCCATGGATTTTCTTTCTCAAGGTTCCAATTGGCCTTAGGCGAACAAGCTTTTTTAATTTGTCAAGCCTTGAATGATTTTTAACCACAACGACAATTACTCAAGAAAAAWTTAAATTAATTGCTCATATTCGTTGTGATTAAAGCGTGGCATTAATGTAAATGTGTAAGATTGATAACAGCAAACAGATCAAAGCTAGATAATACTGACGACGACAAAGGAGGGCTAATTTATCATAGCTGGAAATAAGACAGCACTGTCGGTGTTGAAAATAAGTAAGAGTGACACCGTAGTGAGATCCACTTTGCTTCAAGTACAGCGTAGGTTATACATGAACACCATGTTGGTTCGACTTCTTTGTACGTTTGTCCTTCTCGTCGTCCAAGCTAAGGTAATTCAGTCGCATATCTTGCCAAAGCTTGCAGAGTTGAAAAACGTCACGCGCGTAGCAATATGCTTTCTAGCTCTTAGATTACTAGAAGAAAAATTCTTTTGTGTTTTTGATTTCTTGTGTTCGTAATATCTTGGYTGTTTGTCGTGTCGGTGTTCGCTGGGCTTTGAGGCAAACTAAAGCAAAAACTCTAGAAAAGCAAAGATAGACTCTACTGTGTCGAAAGTAAATGATTTTTATGTATCCTTTTGGGCAAAGTGTYAGATAATCCTTGAAATCTTCAAGTTTTTTTTATCGATACCCTAAAACAACCTCTGGGTTGATCAAAGTCAGGGCATGGCTAAAGCGCAGACCGAATTGGAATTTAGCTTGTTAGGTTGAAAGCGGAGAGAGGAAAATCACAGAACCCGGAGAAAAGCCCTCGAAATAAGGTCCACTGCCACTGCCACTGCCACTGCCACTACTGAAAGCATTAAATACTTTTTTTGTCCTTTAGGGAAGTTCAATCAGAAAAAGGTTTGATATCCCATCAGGTAGGCCAGGAAAAATTATTTAATCCATTCATTTTGTCTCTTTGCTCAGAATAGAGATTTCGACCATCATATGACGGCAGCCATGTTCGATGTCAAGAACAATACAATCGCGTTTTACACGAGTAAAAAATATGTCATAAATTTTATTGTT